CGTCATATATAGGTCGTGTGCAGACAGCTCGATATTGTCAATGAGTTTGCATGCTTCGATTTTTTTCAGGTTACATGCACTCTATATTATTTGATGTCCAATATATAAAAATAATGACAAATTTACTATTTGGTTAATTACAAATTTACTTTATATTTTTGTAATAATCTTCTATTCAGCATATGCTATGCTTGTATGGAAAACATAAAAGAACTTAAAAACTAATATTCGCTACAAAAATCTGAAATGGCTGTTGCTGTTGCCGCAGTATGTCATTACGGTACTGATTTTCAGTGGAGCCACTGTACATCTATAGTTTGATAATATAATGACCGTATCGTCTAGTCAAATAACTATAGAACCGTTGTTTTTGTTTTATTATTTTCCAAACAGTTAGGCCGCTGGTTAGAACAGCTCTTGAAAAAGAAATATATTTCGTAAACAATTTAAATTAAAAAGAATAACATAATCTGTTAATAACTGACGTTGAAAAAGATAGCTGTATCCTTTCAATCAAATTGATTTTATTGATATTTTATTATTAACGTAGACAGTATATTGGTTTCTATTGCATTATGCGTAATTACTATAGTTGTATGAACAATTTAAGGCATTTGTCATAGTGCAAAAGTAGTTTGATCCGAGAATTTGTCCTTCGGTAGAGCCATTAACTTCGCCAAAAGGTTTCTTTAATGTCCTCAAGAGGCATTAGTGGTCCAGAGGGTGTCGTCCTTCGACGTTTAGGCTCTTGAATGTGACGTCACATCAGCACTTGTCATCTTAAATGCATGTTTTAGTTCCTTTTTGGTAATCGTTAAAATATGATGGTATTATTATTAAGAGAAAAAAAAAGATTATTTTCTGCCCAGGAATTGTGCGTGTGTGTACTATTTAAGAAAATTAGACCAAGAAGCTGAAAATTTATATTTTTATATTTTTTTTGTTTTATTATGTCAAGTTTTTACTTTTTCTTACTCTAAAGCGCAAAATTAAAGCCATGCTTGATAAATCAGACATTTCTTTGTTACGAACCCTGACTTATTAAGCTATATTAATATTAGACGTGCAAAGAAGTCTATCTATCTGTTTGTTATCTTATAATGTCAGAACGGATCTGAATTAAATTTGACACAAAAGTGGTTTCACATTTATCATAGTGATAGATATCAGGAGGAAAAAATTAGGTTATCCTTTAGTCTAAAAAAGAAAGAACTACGTATAACGGGTAACATTTAGTTAATAATTTATTATATTTTTTTTTTTTTTTATTTATACTCTTTATTGCACCAATTACAGAACAAAAAAAAAAAAAAACAATTAAAATGGAAAATATACACTGATACAAAAGGCGGTCTTATCGCTAAGCAATCTCTTCCAGACTACCTTTGGGTGGATAGAGAAATAAAAATAAGAACAGGGTAGGTGGCGCACGTAATAAACAAAAATAAATATATATGACTCAAATATACATAAATATAAACATACACACACATTAATACATATATACATACACATACATATACTTAATAGTGCACATACATTCGGAAAGAAGAGATATATAAGAGACACACATACATTTGGAGAGAAGAGATAAGGAGAATAATAAGAAATTAATTAAAGAGATATAAAATGGGATTTGACAGAGGCTTTAAAGCTGGCAAGCGATTGAATGCTCCGAATGCTAGAGGGCAGTGAGTTCCACAACCTAACGGCCTGGACAGAAAAGGATTTAGAATAGAAGGAAGTGGAATGAGAGGGAAATCTTAGACGGAGATAATTAACATTACGCGAGGAGTGGCTGTTGTTCTCACTGAGAAATGTGAAACAGTCTTTTAGGTAATAAGGAGTAACTGGGTTAAAAAGAATGCTGTAAAGGAGTGATAGGATGTGTAAGTTGCGACGAAGACGGATAGGGAGCCACTTGAGTTGAGTACGATACTGGGAGATGTGATCATATTTGCGCAGACCAAATATGAAGCGAATACATAAATTTTGAAGTCGCTCAAGTTTATTTAATTGCTCTTCAGTGAGATCCAAGTAGCAGCAGTCAGCATAATCGAGGATAGGAAGGAGTAAGGAATGAGCAAGTGCAATTTTGGTATCAAAAGGGAGAAAGTTACGCAACCTGTTCAAGCCACCAGCAGCTGCAAACATTTTCCTACTAACCTCAGAGACTTGATGAGACCAAGACAACGTACGATCAAATACAATACCAAGATTTTTAACAGATTTCCTATATTCAATTAGAACCCCGTCGAAGACTACAGGCGGAAGGTCATTCCAAGAAATTTGAGAAATATATCTGGGGCTACCTATAATAATGGCTTGTGTCTTCGAAGGGTTCACAACAAGGCCGTATGACTCACTCCAAACAGATAAACGCCTAAGATCGTCATTGATAGTGGATATGGCTTGAGTTAAATCTACCAGACCAGCCTGAGTGTAGATTTGGAGATCGTCTGCATAGAGATGGTAGGAAGACTGAAGTTTTGAAGTGATTGAGCTAATAAACAATGCAAATAAAAGGGGAGATAAGACACCACCCTGAGGTACGCCAGCTGACGTAAGGCACCACGAAGACAGAGCGTCATCGATGCGAATACGCTGCCGACGCCCCAACAGGTAACTACGAAACCAGTCAATAGCCGTTGGAGATATGTTGAGAGAGGATAATAGGCCTAATAAGATGTCAAAATCCACAGTATTAAATGCGTTACTGAAATCAAGTAAAGTGAGAACAGTAAGCTGAGAGTTCTCCATGCCAAGACGAATATCGTCAGTTATTTTCACAACAGCGGTAGTCGTACTGTGACCGGGGCGGAAACCAGATTGTAAAGGATTTAGGAGACTATGTCTGGTTAGGAATGAATTAAGCCTTAGTTGAACCAAACGTTCTAAGGCTTTGGATAGGAAAGGGAGTATGGAAATAGGACGATAATCGGCGAATGAGGTAGGAATATTTTTTTTGGGAAGAGGAATAATGAAAGCATCTTTCCAATTGGAGGGAAAGACGCCAGAGGACAAAGACTTATTGAAGAGTAAAGTAATGGAGGGCAAAAGGATATCAAGAATAGGCAAGATCATATTACGACTAACGCTGTCGCTACCTACAGCATTTGAAGAAATTGAAAGCAAACTCTTCTCAACATCACAATCGGTCAATTGATCAAAGAAAAAAGGAGAGCAGTCAGGGGTGGATAAGAAGGAAAGATTACGTAGTGTATTAGATTTTACAGTAATATCTATAGCAGGAGAAGAACAGAAATGTTGGTTGAGACATTCGATATCCATAGTAACAGGGTTATCATTACTTTTTTTCCCAACCCCTAGTGACTTGAGAAATTTCCAGACTTTAGCTGGATCACCGTTTTCAACGGATTTGTGAATGTGGCGTCTTTGGGCTTCTCTACACATCCTATTACAGAGATTCCTGGCGCTGATATAATCATTCCGACATCTGTCCGGGTCTGACCTAAATTTGGACTTAGCTTTATTCTTTTTCAGTATCATAGTCTTGATCTCATCTGTAAGCCAGGGTGCAGGCAAATGCTTAACCCTGACAGGGCGGACAGGAGCATGTTTATTGTAAAGATCTGTAATTAATTTATTAAATCGTTCAACTTGATCGTTTACGTCAGATAGAGTACCAAGAGTAGACCAACTACATTCTGAGGCGTCTTTGCGCAAACAGTCCATATCGATAGCACCAAAATTGCGCTGCATAAGGATTTTACGTTTAATTTTAGGAGGACGAATTTTATAGGAGAGGTAAATAAGGTTATGGAAGGAAAAACCATCAGCAGGCAGCTGACCAAAATTAGCGACAAGGTCAGGAGATGAGACGAGGATTAAATCGAGCAAGGAAGGATTGCAGCTAGGAAAGAAATGGGTAGCATTTAGAGGTAGGATATGCAGGTTGCAGGCGTTGACTACAGATTGAAGACGATTTGCCCGGGAGTCATTTTTTAAAAGGCAGGTGTTAAAGTCACCCATAATAATGGTATGACTATAGGAAGGAAGGAGGTTCTCTAGGAGTTGCTCAAATAAGGAAAAATAGTCAACCGTAGGTGACGGGCTATAGAACACTCCTAGAAGAACTTTAGTATGGGAGAGTGTGACTTCTATAAAAAGATGCTCAGGTTCATGGGAAGGATTAGTGCTGAAAGAGGAATTAATCAAAACGAAAGGGATATCGGAACGCAGGTATATGGCAACACCACCGCCACCTCTGCCAGTGCGATCACAGCGAACAAGATGGAAACCAGGTAAAGAGTAGGAAATTGAAGGAAGACACGGCTTTAGCCATGTCTCGGAAATGAAGATAGCGTGAAGATTATTTACGTTAAATGTTGAAAGCATTTCAGGAAAGTGTGCAGGAATACTTTGCGCGTTAATGTGAACGGCATTAAAGTTTTTAGGTACTTCAGAAAAGGTATTATTTAAAATTTCATCCAAGGGAAGAGACGCGCTGTGAAAGCTGTCATCGCTGGTATGATCCGAAATAGAATTAAACGTGTCATCACCATCACTATCAATATACATGTGTGCACAAAAATATAAATACAAAATACAATATATATAAAAAAGAAAAACAATAATATAAAAACAAAAATTAAACTAATATTCTTCTCTGAGCGTCTACCTGCTAGTAGTTGGAATTTGATAATAAATATATATATGTACATATGAAAAGAGAAATTACATCATAATAATACCAAAAATAACAATAACTTAAAGATTAAATTTAGGTGGCAATATTAAAAACTATGGCTGTATCAATATAATGCCAAATGGGCTAAGTTGGCTATTTTAGTCTAATCTACCATAAATACTTATTTCAATATAACAACTGTCAACGTCAGTTCTGTCAAAGTCATAACTGTCAGAAATGCCGAATCTCAACCGAGTGAAAATAATTGAAAATGTTTTTAATGTGGGTTGATAATAGAAAAAGTAAAAGTTTTAAAAATGTCACAAGATACAAAGAAAATTTAAAAATACATTAGTTAAATTTACCTACCCACTGAATTTGGTAAAATATAGAACAAACCCTACGTAAATAATACCGCCACCACAACCACTACAACAGTTTGCCGAGGAACAGATTATTTCTTCAAAATGCGCTTAGATCGCGTTACAGCTGCCATATCGGATGTCTTCTGGGCGGTGACGAGCTGGGAAGTTGTAGGCAGCGTCGTATTATCACACACAACACTCTGAGACAAATTAATGAGCCGGTTTAGGTCGGCACCTGAACTGACTTGATGTTTTTTACCGTCAGTTCCGATGATCAGCACAGCTCCATTTTGTGTCCAGCACTTAGATATACCAAAGTGTTTCCGCGCATTCATAAAAGCCTCATGTCTGACTTTAGTGAGGAATTCAGACAATGTGATACCACTACTTTTAAACCCAGTTTTCGCTGTCCACACTTTATTGCGCACCTCAATGCTGCGAAATTTAACAAGGATGGGACGAGGTTTCCCTCCGGTTACACGGCCCATACGATGTATTCTACTTATATTGTCTAGTGAGATGGATACTTTAAGTTTCTCAGCAAACAACTTAGTTACTTGAAGAGTCAAATTAGCGTCACAGTCTTCACGAATCCCATGAATCAACAATATCTTGCGCCGACTGTGCATTTCAAGATGATCTTGCTGTTGTGCCAAAACTTGAACTTGATGTTGGAGATTAATCAATGAGTCTCCGATCAAGGACTTAAAATTAGAGAAATCTGCAGCAAGTGAAGCCAAGGTAACTGGAGCACCACTGGCTTTCTCAAGGTTATCCTGGAAGGCTGCCATCCTTGTATTAAAGTGCTCCATCATCTGCTCCAATGACTGCTGTATAGTGTCCATTGATGATGTAATTTAAAGTTGTTTAAAGTGAAAGTGCGAAGGAGATAACACTACTGCAGGTAGATCACCACTATACTTATACTTTATGCATAAAATATAATGCAAATAATTGGTAATTTAAAATTAAACAATTAAATAAGTAAGACCAAAGTTTCTATGTGTTTAGTGCTACACAGCTACCCTCAAAAAAAAAAAAAAAAAAAAAAAAAAAAAAAAAAAAAAAAAAAAAAAAAAAAAAAAAAAAAAAAAAAAAAAAAAAAAAAAAAAAAAAAAAAAAAAAAAAAAAAAAATATATATTAAAATAAAATAAATAATATTAAATATTATTATTTCTATTTTTTTATTAGGTAAATAAATCGACTATTATGATATGTTGACATTTGTTGATTAATTCGTTCACTTGTTTAAACGTGAAAAGAGAAAAAGATAATTTCCAATTTATAATATTAGTTTGTATTTGACCTCTCAGAAAATTCCTAATTGAACCAAATTATCTACTCAAAGGCATCAAAGCGAGTCTTAGGGAAAGGATTTGGGAGACCATTTAATTGATTTTTCCAGTAAATACCCTAACATCTTAGAAAATATTGCTGAGTATATGTTTGGAGGTAACTTTTATATGATACTAGATGTGAACGCGGTTTCTCTCGCGTTGAATTTGAATGTATGTGTTATTCTGATGCATAAGCTATGTACACTAATATTAGAAAGAGAAATTATTTGTATGTATATTGTTTAATAAACTCAAAAAATACTGGTCAGATTTAAAAAAATTACCATATCTATTTAGTCACTATAGTTTCTTAAATGGATGATAACGGAATAGTGCTTCCATTTGCGCTAACGGTTTGCTCTGGCAGGGCACCAGTGGTGGATGATAGGATGAATTTGTTTTGATGGTTTCCAGGGGGAACCGTGTGGAGGTCAACCTGCATCGTTCATTGCTAGCAATGGGGTCAGTCCACATTACTAACAATCCCCTTTCCTCCTTCTATATTATTAGTAATCATTTCCCCGAGTAAAATATCTTACAATGGTCAATCAGTTAGCAAAAATGTTAAATCAAGTTGGATAAAAAGGCTCCTAGACTTCTGTATGTATAAAACATATTGCAAATATTTACAAGGAACTCGCTCTATTTTCACGCAATTCACACAAATGCAATGGGATCCTTATATAAAGTTTTTATTCTCGAGATATCCGTTTACGCCAACTTTCTGGTATAATACACAATCTAATATACAATTTAAATTGTGTCCCTATCGTAAAGGCAAGCCCGGACTTATGGTATTCACGGAACCCTTTAGTTTTTACAGCCCTTATGTTGTGGATACTCTAAATAAGTTTTGCGAGCCGAGTTTGATGAACAATTTACATTATTTTATAGTTCGTCCCTGTTTTAGTGCGGTCTGAATCTCGATTCCATTTTACTCATTCTCAGAGCCAGACCACAGCAATTTGACTGAAGAGAGAGGGGTTTTGAGTAACGAACACGGTCAAATTAATTGAGCTAATGCTATTCAGTGGACTTAAAGTCCTATTGTTTATTTATAACGTTATTTGTCATGCAAAAAGGTCGAGGAAAGTAATGAGTGGTAATCTATACCCATAAACGTAGACCCTGCTAGTCCTGCTATAGAGACAGGAGATTGTCGATTGACCTGACTTTGTAAATTGCCAGTAATGTACATACATATAGCAGAAAGGTAGATGGCGTCATGTGTCTAGAAATTACTAGTACTTAAAACCTAGTACTTATTACGCAGTCTAGTAATGGGTAGAAATACTTAAATACATTTTTACTTATAGTCTAGATCACCCACGTCTTAAAATATTCGCCGAAAAACAATCATACCAATAGAAATAACCATATTCATATTATGAATAGAAGGAGTATCACTATTGTAGGAGTCAATTGAAAGCAAGTTCTTATATTTTAATTTTATATTTCTTTATACACAGGTCTGTAGACTTGGTTTATTTCTGTAACGTGTTGTTTGTATTGAAGAGTTTGCTCGTCTCAAGGGCGCCGGCTGGGTACAAATCTGTCATAGACAAACCTTGACATTACGGTTTCACAGGTCCACTGTTTGTATATTTATCTTACTAAACAATAATTTTGCGTAACTAGTGAAACCAAGTACAAGGCTTATTTAGGACTAAATAGCGCTGTGTGAATTGTCGTTGGTTATTATTATTATGCCTTTTGTATGAAGTTATATTTAAGTATCTTCTTATATGTATTAGATGAACGTTCTTAGTTTTATAGTTACAGTTTTGCCGATTTACCGCTGAAACCACCGGACAAGCAGAAACTGAGAATCTAAATTCAATTTTGCGTCGAAATACACCGAAATTCAAAATTCTGTTCGTTTAATGCAATTTACTTTTTGACTACATGTTACGTGTATTGGGCATCTTTAAATGTCATATCGGCAGTAAATTGTACAAATGTCTCGAATTTATAGAAATTTAAATAATAATGATAATATTGCCCAATTCCCGCAATGGCATCGGCTCCTGAACTAAGTAAAGCTTGTGGTATGGATAATACCACAAGCTTTACTTAGTTCAGGAGCTGATGGATAGCTAAAGAACTGATATAAATAATCGAATACATTTTATTTATACATATATTATCTATCTATATATGTTATGTACATATGGTACATAATATATATACATATATAAATAATATCCAGGCAAACAATCTATATTCCTAAATGCGTGAAAAATATTTTTATCAATTGTCTAATAACCATAAAACAACTATTGCTTAGCTTAGGACTAGATGGCACTGTGCAAATTGTCCAAGATTATTATTATTATTAATAGAAGTATAGGTTTGATATTTTTATGACTGTACTCTTTATAAGGGTGATTTATTGACTAACATTATACAACTTTTTATGTAAGTCTAGGCACGCTGAATGTTCACCTAGAACCTTCAACCTTTCTGAATTTACATAAAAACATGTGTTCGTGCCGCCTACGAAATGCACAGGGTTTCGGGTAAGGTTTTCGTAAAATATAGCTTAATAAAGAGGATTAGGTTATATGCAAATCGGAGAAAATTTACATTTATTTATTTTGTTTTTAATATAGTACTTGCACTGCATCGTAGGACGAATGTGTAGTATTTTAGCACAGTATTTATGTCGGTATAAGACTGTATCATTTGTTTATTAGAATAACAACAATGGGTCCTCATTTGACCCGAATACTATATGTAAGTATATATTATTAATACATATATGTATGTAGGTCCGGGGAGTTGAAATATAATAGATTTTCTGCGCGTTACGAATTTAATTTCAGATATTACAATAAAGGCACTGATATCCAGCAAGAAATAGTCGTCGTTCCTCGTTCTTGCACTCATTCGTTTCCCTTCACTTATATATTCATTTCCTCGTCATTCATGTTTCAATTAATGCATACATCGTTCGGTTAATACAGTCGTTCCGTTATATACCAAGCCCACATGTATAATGTACTAATACGAATACACAAAACGTCATAAAAAATATTTAATTACAATAAACTGTATCAGAATTAGTGGCTTAATTTAGAAAAAGTCACAGCCTAAATGATGAATGGTATATATTTTGTCAATCCTATTGATATAGGTATTAAATGATAGATCTTAAAAATGATCGTAGTTTCAGGACCGCGACTTATTACAGGTATCATACTAGTAGCTACTAATAAATATTAATATTGTAATTGCGACAACGTCTGTCTTACCTTTTTATGGCCGAAGAAATCATGACACGCTTTTGTCTTAATAAAAGTAAACATACTAAATAAACAGGGTGTTAAACATACTAAATAAGGCAGTTGATCATTTATTAATTATTAAATTATGCTAGATCTAGCCATTATTTCTAATATAACATGTGAGTCATTCTCTGCATGTGTTATTTAGTGATTCGAAAGTATTGTGGAGATTTAGTTTTATTTGCTAATTTTAATTAGTAGAAACTTTTTAATTAGTTAGTTATAGTTTATACAAAATTTGTATGCATAATATAAGTTACCATCGGTCATCCCATTCTCGTAAGTAGCGTGTTGGGCTCGGCAACCGCCCATTAGGAAAGCACCCGAGAGTTAGTTAGGTAATGCACACATAAGTGCATGTTACTGAACTTAATAATTACAATAACAGCACAACTCTACCAATGGCTGTCAGAATAATTAAAATATTGCCATCGCGATGAGAATTACCGTATTCTTGTTTAGAATAATGTTCTCGAGGATGATTGGTCCAAGGAGCAAAGATGCAGCGGATATGTAGTAGAACAAATTTAAGAAAACTCCCTTCGAATGTATCCATTTACTTTTCTGTTCAATTAAGCCTATATTTTAAGTTAGAGTTCTAGCAATAAAACTGAGTTCATTTTCATGCAATAGTTTTAGTGTGATGCGTGACAAACATACAGATAGACAGATAAACATTCTAAAAAAGTGTTAATAATAAACTAACAATATTCTAAACAGTGTTTTTGGAACACTGTGTGTCATGTCATCATATCTCGGCTCGTCTTGGTACTCTATAATTACACTGCCTGATCTTTCTTACTCTTCAACTAAAACAGCTTAGCAACAATACTATAACAATCTGCTTGACGGCTGAAATAAAGTACATAATTGAGACTACAATCTGTTTGGATAAAACGTAGGTGTATCAATATTGTATTTGTAGGGGAACGGCATTTTTTTCTTACGGTTTATTGGTCATTGACGAACGTTGTCGAAATGTGTCGCCGGTTAGACGTACTAAGATACATTAAGAGACGCATTATGTTAATGGTGTAATCGTTTCTGAATTACACCGTATGCGGAAGGGTAACATGGTGCCCTTTGGTAAAGTTTGTCAACTACCTCCCTGGGAGCGATATCTAGGTTGGAGTTCAGTAATTTTAACTAATGACATTTCGGTACGCACCGGGAAGCGCCAGGTTCAGTGTCGAAAATAGACCTCCTTTCCTCCTTCGGAGTTAAGGTAATTAAGATCCCAGAATGTAATAAAATATTCAACTGCTTGTTTTTTACATTCATACTGGCTTTCCACGCCATCGCCCACGAGCAACCCTTTGTTCTTTGTTTTCATGGAAATTTCGAGAAATTCTTTAATGTCATAAAAACATACTTATATTGTACTAGCTTTT